CATTAGTGGGTGACTCAGAGTAACTGGTTCATACAATGAACCAGTTTACCAGCACCAAAATTAACTACTTGGACTGGCTACTGCTCCTCCACAACTCTGAACAGGATCAAATGGTAAAAGAGGAATAGAATGAATAAATGAAAAGCCCAAATCATGTCAGTGTTTACTATAATTATGGAATTCTAAAGGACATATTTCCAAAAACATACAACAACACTTTTTGATTATATACACAAAAACAGTGTATATAAATCTTTTACACTAACCACGCCCATAATGTGATGACCCAGTCCATATCCATAACTACACTGTACCCACTTGTGTGGACTGGATGTTGAAGAAATGTGTTCTTCAACATCCAGTGCACACAAGCAAAGAAAACGTTAACAGTAATGAGGATCGATGTGGGTGTTAACAGTATTGGCTGTCCGGCCCAAGAACTGCCCTAAGCACCATCTTTATTAGTGCAGAGAAAAGAGAGTCGGTCGCTCCATCCCCAGCTCGAAAAAGAAGGCCATTGATCAGAAGGTCAGGCCAGACTGAGTCCAGCCATTTAACCGTCTGTGTCAATCCTGAGTCTCACTGCTACTGTCTCTAAGGTGAGGTAGGGTCATCATGACATGGGGCAGTTCATTCAGGGTCAGAGGTAAGAACTCAGACACAACAGTGCTTACAAGAATAAAAACGCAAGCAACTGCATATCCAAAATCCTGCACTGTCCACAGACTAGGACAAGGTAAAAGACCTGTCCAGAGACTAGGACAAGGTGATAGACCTGTCCACAGACTAGGACAAAGTGATAGACCTGTACAGAGACTAGGAGACAAGGTGACAGACCTGTACAGAGACTAGGACAAGGTAAAAGACTTGTCCAGAGACTAGTACAAAGATTTCTACATATTATATTTTTGAAAATCAAATTGCTAGTTTTATCAAATTAATCTTTTTTTTTTTAGATTGTATTAGTATATTCTGGATGATGTAAAACTGTTTCTGGTTTGTTTTAAATTCTGGGCTAATTTTTCTTGATCCATATTATCTTGGAGTTCACCTCATACAGGTTCTCATTTGTGCAATAAGCAGCAGTTCAGCCCCCCCTAATGTCAAGTTAAACATCTTCAACCAAACTCCAAAAAAAAAAAAAAAAAAATTTAAATAAAATGTCCCAAAGTTAACAAAGGTCCAAATACAAAATTAGTGTTTTTGGAGTGTTTTTCCAAGTGCAGTGGGTAACACGAAATAACAAGAAGGGCTTTGAACTGCCACCATACGCAAAGTGCTTTTTGACAAACAAAAGCATCTCTGCTTTGTGGACAGACGGACCATTTCTCTTGTCATCTACCACATGCCCTGTCAAACTAAACAAATGCTTCCACGACTTGAAATACAACTCCAATAACTATGTCTGGAATGATAAAACAAAAAAAAAAAGTCATCTCAGTTCAGCTGGACGTTCAGATGTTAACGGTGTTTTAAGTGGGAGGTTACGTTTGTTCTTTCCAAAGACTTTGTAGTGGCTCCCACACAGTTAACCTTCCTTGTTATATATACATATATAACAAGCGTGTAGCTTTCTTGGCTCACTGTTAAGTACTTTAAGACTAATGAAATTAGTTAGCTCCAGCTTTTAAGTGTGGTCTCTTCTTCTACAAATAAACATGTAAAAAAAAATGCGCTCACATAAAAATGATTCATGGCGCAAATAATTTTCACTTGGAAACACGTTCAATAAAAGGGAACTGTTGGTTTAGTGTGCAGCTCTGATTCAAGCTCTTGCTCTTGGGGAATAAAAGCAGTCAAATCCTTTTACACATTAATCCAGATGTCTGGCTTGCTTCAGACGCACAGAACTCTGTCAAAATTGTGTCCTGGATTTCTGTGCTGGAGTCACTTCAAATGACTTGGCAGGTAATCAGCTGCTATCTTTCATCACACACAGAAAAAAACCCCTTGGTGACAGAGGCCAAGCCTGCCTTTTCAAAATCTACCACAGAAAGATTTCATTTCAGTCAGTCATCCAGTTCAAGCTTTTGTTTCAGGGATTAAAGAGCAGACCAGGGGGAAAAAACGGGGGTAAAAATCAACTGGCGGGCAGCAAAATTCTTTCTCCAAGAACAAAAGGTTAAAGTAAATTTCTTATCTGAATTCTCGAAATTAAAAACATGTTCAGGATACGTCAAGAAAGGTAAAATAGGCTTAATATCAAAAAGAAAAAGAAAATTGGAAGAAATTCAGAAATGATGGTTGATGGTAAAGTATGTGGAGATGTCGATATCACTTTATTTGCTTCTATCAAAGCTGGTCAGGCAAACCGCAGCTTCAGGATGAAAACTAGGATTATAATGAATCAATACCAGATTGAAAGTATATATTGCTCATCCAGGGATGTCCTTATCGGAAATCTGACAGCATTGTTGCTGTAAACAACGGCAGTGCTTTAGCCTTAGCTCTCAGATCGGACAGACTTCAATTGTTTTTCCCAATATCCGAGTTTGGAATTTGGACCAATATCGGACCGATCCCAAGTATCGGATCGAGCCATCCCTACCCATCACTCTAATCCCCTATTTACATATTTTTGGACCTGCATGCGGCTCTTTGCCCTGTTTCATGCAGCTCTTACGTTTATGTCAAGGTTTGTATTTTTTTTATAGTACGTGAATCTCATGCACATGGCCGCTGACGCCGATGACCTGGAGGGAAAAACCACAGAATAGCGTAGGCTAACCAAACTTGCTCTCAAAATGGCGGAGAAAAATGGACAGCAAAAGGAAAATATGAAGTTGAAGACAGGAGAGTTTACTTTTTTAAGGGATGAGCCCATGTATATCATGTGGCTCTTTGCAGTAAAAATTGTGGCCTCTGACTGGTTGGCCACCCCTGAACTAATGAACCTGATTTAAGCAACAAAGTCAGGTTTTGTTTAGCTTAGCCTTACTTTAGGTTTAAGTTGTTATGTTATACGAAATATTAAGGCATTATATAAATTTAAAAAAAATCAATGTCAGTGCTGCTTTTATGCTTTCTGGACCATGACATTGATTTCCTCCACACCTTTGGAGGAACTTCACAACTTCCATTGAGATCTCAGAAGATTTAGTCTCTGAGCTGGAATAACCCATGTGAGGGGCTGCTGGGAGTGATAAAGGACATTGTAGTGATGTGGTAAGGCCAATCTCAACACTGATCCATCTGCCTGAGGGAGAGAGAAAAAAAAAACAGCCTGTGTATAGAGAGAGAGTGTTTAGTATTAAATGGAAAACGTTATCAGGCACTGAACTATGCCCTGGAAGTAAAACCAATGTATTGCTCTCGTGGATATCCTAAGTGTTAGCTGCAAGGTCACCTAGTATTTCTTATTCATCGTCTGTATTACATACATGGGCCTGCAGTATATCCCCAGTGGAAAATGGAGTATAAGTGAGTGCTCTATTTTTAAGTCTTAATTGGTAGTCAGGAGCATATGTTCCCATACTGTCACTTAGGATTAGGTTTTATTTTCGTACTGGGAAGGTAAGGAATTTTAAAACACTTCGAATATAGGTATTTTAAAGGCCATTTAAGTCGGACTCAACAGAAGGTAACAATATTCCCGAGAGAGAGATGAGTAAGATTAATTCATTACAATGATGACTACATGCTGATGTACGTTTAAAAAAAGGGTTTTTTGAAGGAAGCAAGGGAAAAAAAGTTCAACACTTCAGTATTTCTAAGACAAATAGCTTAAATTTAAGAGTACTAAGAAAGTTAGGAAGGTCTATATGTTTTACCAAAATCCAAAAAAACAACAAAACAGTTTGGACATTTGACCAACTTGCTTTGGAAATGTCGTCATATAAATGAGGTTTAATGCCACATTAACACGTGTCCAAGAGGCCAAATGGCCCAGGCCTTAGACAATGGAGTTAGTAATTTAGAAAATATTTTAACAAAATTAAAATATTACATGAAATCAAGGCAATCCCAGACAATCTGCTGTGTTATTCTGTCATACAGAAAGTGAAAGCAGCGGGAAATTTGTGCGTCTGAAAAAGATTCCACTTAGTGTAGAAAACAACTGTGACACACTGCAGGCTGCAAAACTGCATTTAAACAGCTCTGCTACACTGATTACAAACCCACTTTGCTAGGTTAAAAACCTAGCAAAGTGGGTATGTACAAAGAACCTGGAACAATGACACTACAAACTGTTAGAGTGAGTAAAGAGAGTTAAACCTTTGTATTTAACACAATTATATACGTGTAAAATTTCCTGCAGATAAATGGCTCTCTTCAGGGCCTTTTAAATTCTATTGCAATTGGTGCGCACAAGGATGAAAACCAGTTTTCCACTACATATACATAAACAAACACAACAAGATTTCTCCTTTGCATTTAACCCATCAACCCATTCCTGACAAGCATTCATTAGTTTTCAGAAAAAGAATGATCTTTGGTCAACAAACCACAGCTGGCCAAGGAACTGTATGAAGTGGGGAAAAACTGGTTATTGAATGTTAAAAAGCCTCTGGGGACTGAAGACTGGCACCGAATTTTGGCTTTAAATCACAAAACATGTAGAGAAGTTTAAAAATATCCACACTTTCCTACAGTACATTTGAGTTAATTTAACCCTACTTAAACCTCAACGTGAATTTATTTAAATTTCTTGCGAAGACCTCGTCCATAAACGGAGACAACTAATAAGTGGCATGTTTTTTTTTTTGTTTTGTTTTTTTCACATGTCAGAGAACTTATTTGCAAAATCTTTATGACACTTTCGCAACTGTGGACCAAGCATGAACCAATTAGTTCCTGGTGGGTGTCTGCTACATATTTCATAATTAATTCACATTTTGCCTGGGCTATTTTTGACATTTTTAAAACGATACACACGCTGCCAAGTTTATTGATTCGCTCTAATGGCAGCCTCTCACCACCAGCCTTCATTTTATCCTGCTAATGAATTTCTTTTTAGGTCAATAAAGAACCCCATAATGAAAAGTGTCACCTTCACTTACCACAAGTGAGACGAAAAAAAATTTCAGGTCCAGAGGTGGGAAACTCTTCTCCACATGGTGTCTTCCATCGAGCCGAGCTTAGTCATTCTGGCCTGAGGCAGGAGCAGAGTGTAGGCAGACAGATTTAGTGAATGAAATCATAACAGTGTCAGAGCAATTTTACTGCAGCTGCAAAACTAAGAGGATGAGTTTATGTTCATAACAAACATAATTTGAGCACACAGTATACAACGCAATCAACCGGCCACAGACCGCAGTGAGAGGACAGCACCAGTGATTTCAACTCATTTGAACTGAAATTAAGTTCTTATTATGAGCGTGAAATTAGCTTTTTTTTTTTTACACAAAATATGAATTACTTAAAATATTATACACTTTTCTTTCATTTCCTTATTAGACTGAACACATTTTGTAATTGCTTGACTATGACAATTAGATAAGAAGTGCTTGAAAATAGTTTGCGATTTTATAGAACATCTTTGGTCATGGTGATCACCGAAAGCATTTAACCAGGTAAACAAGTAAAGACCATGTAACGAGACCAGGTAAACAAGTAAAGACCATGTAAAGAGATTAAATACAATTAAACTTAAAAAAATGTGTTTAACACATAATGTATAGCACATAAGAGGTAAAAGAGCTCATTTCCCACTATAATATTTCAGAGTTATATAATCGTGGCTATGCACAACACTACTCCATGTTGGTTTGGGCCCAGTTTTCAGAGAGTTTGTTGTGTTTGTTATTAGAACAATGGATATAATCCCCCAAGGTTCATTTTCTTTCAATACTCAATTACTGCAGCTACCGTAATTTACCAAACGGATTCAATCAATTGAAACAGCCACTGTCCCACGATACATCGCTAATGATGAGACGCGAACAATTCAGCGCAGCCATGACTTCAGTAGGGGCTGTGTTACGTACATCTAAAGATGCAACAATAGACTTTTGGTCTTGTTACACTGTGGAAAAGCTGTAGCTCTGCTATACATATTTGTCTCTGTCCTGTGTCTTCAATAAGTCAAGCGCAAAAAAAAAATCCATCACACAAGCAAGTGGATCAGGTATCGGTGGCATGGGTGCAGTTCCTATTTGTGCAAAGCAAGGTCAGTGAACCGCATGGAAGGCGGATCAATCAGTCAGATTAATGAAGCACAACCTGCTGACATGACGAATATTGACACCCCTATTACATCTTGGTCATGGAGTCCACAACACAGCTTAAATAAATCGGAGCTGAGAGGAAGGAATGCAGGTAAATCTTGGGACCTAATCTTTCTTAGGATTAAAAAGGAGATTTACTGTAAATAATACGAAGATGACAACACCCTCCATAGAGTTACTAAGGGGAATACCTCGAATAAAACCATGTACAACCTTTTAGGCCAACATTTAGAGTAGTCAGTACTGAGTGAGTACGTACAGCAGTTGTATTGATAGTAACTACACAGTAGTGGCTGGATATTGGTATTAGAAGTGTCCCTACCCAATTCTACGCCCCTGGTCAGTACAATGGGCAAGGTACTAAACTAGCAGAATAGTTATCTGGCCCAAAAATTGGCACGTTGGTACAGTGTACACTGTAAGTCAAAAAGTATCGTAGTAGGAAGTATCCTTAGCTTGCAGCCATCTTTGCAGAGATTTTGGTTGTGTTCCTGACATAAGGAACATAGACTCTGCGAGAACAAAGGCATTTTCTATCTTTGATTAAGAGACGGACTAACCTTTACTATCAGAGCCGCCTTTCTTAGCAATGTGTGGAGTTAACAATAGGGATTATACCTATGAAGCCATGCTTTGGCTCATTATTTGGGCTTAAGTTTACAGACCTCAATGACTCTTAAGATATCACCAGCATTAGGTTTCAATTACCGGCTTGTAAATTCTTCAAATCTCCAAAGAAATGCATCTAATCTTAGGTTTTGAGGAAATGAATGTTTTTGCAGGCTTTGTCTTACAGTAATGAAGCTTTATATTTGGAAGGCAAAATCTCTGATTTCATGTCTTCATTTTAGGATTCAATCAATATTATTCATCACAACCAACAGAGCTCACAGAACTCTCTGAATATGCAAAGCAAAGCTCACTCTTACAGTTTTGGCAGCAGAGAGCAATACTTTCGTATTGGAAATATATATATATTTTTTTTGTATTTTAATTCATGAATTTGTTCATCTCAAGACCATGATGCAATTATTTAGCTTTGGTCCAAGTGTTTTTTTTTAAACATTTATTTAGCTTTGGTCCAAGTGTTTTTTCTCTGAGCTTTTTAAACACTGTGTGGAATGGAAAGTGCAACCAAGGGACCAGCACCTGAAAATAAACAAAGTTTTATTTCTCAAACAAAGAAAAATCAAGTAATTTACAACCTTTTACCTAATTTACAGTACATCTTTCTCTGTTGCTTTACATTGGCTAACTTAAGATGCCTTTAGTTATTTTGCCTTGTTAAAGGATAATTTGCTGTGATTCAAATGTTCAGCTGATCATGCAAACTATTCCATGTGTTTTTCTGAAAGTATTATAATATTATTGGCCTACTACTTACCATTTTTCACAGATTTTTACCTATGCATATGCTGCTTTTCACATAAATCACCACCACCGTTCCAGTTAGTTTTGTTGCTTCTTATTATACCTCATCGGTCAGTGTGCTTCACTGTGAGATCACTCACACACAGCCGCGCTCGCCCACACAAACACACACTAATTAGCTGGGAACTAGCCAGCTGAAGCAGCAGCACATTCCCATGCAGAGAATTTGCAAAACCAAATGAAATTTCTTCCAAATGTGAATTCCATTACTGCTGTGTGGGACCATGAGCAACTTAGTAGCTGAGTAAAGACAATACAGCAACATCAATAAGCCTGCATGTGCTTTGAAACTGTAGCAACGAAAAAAAGTTCCATGCTAGCAATATAAGCATCAATAAGCCTGCATGTGCTTTGAAATAGTAGCAACGAAAAAAGGTCCAAGCTAGCAATATAGCATTCAGCATTCAGCCAGGGAGCATCCAACATTAAGTAATTTTAACAGTGACCAGAATGATAATTTTGTGATGTGTAATTATAATACTGTAATTATGAGCTGATAAATATCAGTTTATCTGATATGCATCATGACAATAGTCTAAAAATATTATTTGAATTAGTTATTACCCATCAGTTTAAATCATTTAATTTATTTTAATGCTGAAGTTTATACACATCCAAATGTTTCGTTGGTTTATATTCACACTTTTCCATATTTGTGTTGATGGCATCAGTGGAGTATTGTAATATTATTTGGAGGAAAAACACACACACATTAAAATAACAATCCAGGGTCTTTGCCTGGTCCCAAATTAATTTCTGAATGTATCCAACCCTGCTGTGTCTAATAAACTAGTCATTCATAAGGACAAGGCTGTCAGAAATTGATTATAGGAGTTGTTCTGAGGTCTACCTATTATATAAGGTTTAGTGTAAAATAAAATATATATTGATAAACAGAAATTCTGCAAATATGACAAGCCTGGGTGAAGGTTACACCTGAATTAAATATTAAACAAAAACATTTATTTCAACGTAGTGTTTGTAATTGCATTGAAATAAGCCTCTCCATAACAAAGCATGTAGAAAATTGTTTGTATATCAGGATGTAATGAATGCTAACAATGAAAAGTCTTGCAATCTGGTCAAATAATCAGTAATCCACGTACAAGTGTAGCTAGGGCTAATCTGTTTTAATCTTCCGTTACAAAAACTACGACCAAGCCTCCCATGGTCTTAAACATTAAAACATTACATGAAGGTCTATTTTTGTAAATTTCAACCATACACTAATGAATGTCCTGTGTTTCTTAATGGAAAAGTGAATTTTCAAGACAAGAAATCATTTTGAACAACAAGTTCGAAGGAGAATAAACTGTCAGTAAGCTTTCAAATAAGGCAGACGGCAGTCACATTGTTGTCGTTAACTACGAACACTTCGGCAACTGCCGGTTCGCTTAACTTCACATTTTGTGAATAAAACCAAAAGGGAGTTAATTTTTCAAAACGCTGACACTTCAATTACTCTGTTAACTGTACTATTATAATAAAATTCGATATATGTCCCGACTTTCATCCCCTTGTAAACTTCCTTTAGCTCTGACGCTGATGTAAATGCTAAACCCAAGCTAAACCCATGAAAAGCGGCGATAAATAAAAAGCGAAAATACCTGCACTTCCGGTATCCATTCTCCGTGTTACTGCCAGATGAATCCCTGTATTAAAACATACGGGAATCTCACTAGTGGTTTGTTGTGGCTTGTGCCCATGAAAACTGCGGAACTGGGCTCACGAACAATGGCGAAGCATGAGCTGACTACGGAAGCCGACAAACAGACACGTGCTGTTTGTTGACGGTTTTCTGTGGGAGGGACCCGATTGAGCTGCGAAAAGACATAGGTCAATGCTGTGTTGTGTTGTGTTAAAGCGTCATCTGTGTCATACTTTTAAAGTCTGTGCATACTTTCTCCCACATTCTTTCTCCTCATCTTCAGCTCCTCTTGCCATCCCCACAGGATAAGGAGTGCATGATTGATGGTCAAATTTCTGGATGGATTAGAGTGGAACTTGCTGCAGTGACATCTTGGAGCAGATGATAAGCTCGTAAAAAATAAGCTATTCTTGACGATTAAATCACTGCTTCCCAACCCTTTTGGCTCATCTGTGGCAACATATCATTTTTAAGGCTGTAGTCACAACAAGTGATGCAGTTCAGATTTATGGATCCAGAAACCTCTAAAAGCCGGGGCTCTTTGATTTAGTACATTCTTTGCACTAAAAAGATGAAAATGAGAAATTCCTTCTAAAAACATATGTCCGGGAAAAGACAACATTAGATCAAAACCTTTAAACCGATAAAAAAAAAAACAAATGTAAGCTGCATTTCAAAATGTATTGGTAATTTTATTTTATTTCACTTACCTAATAAAAGATGATGGATTTGTTCCCCAGCTGTGAGAAATCAAGGTTAAAAGTTCACGTTCTGAACTTTAAATTTTAAAGGCCTAATGCACACTGTACTTTCCTGTGTGGAAAATCAGTCATTATTACCCTGAGCTTCTGGGTTACCTTCAGGTAATTAAATGTTATTGCTCACATTTAGCTTTTTTTTATTATTATTTGTTTGGCATTTTGTTTTGCATTTGCAATGACTTTTTGACTTCTAACTATTTTAACAACTCCAATAAATCACAGATCCCTTCATCCCACTGGAAACAATAAATTGAGCTGAACGTGTGACTGAAAGTGAAAAATACATCTTGTCTGTAGCACTTACTTTTATCTTTATAGTTATTGTGCTGGACTCTGGTGGACGGCCATCTGCAGCGATGCAGGGGAGTCAGCTTGTTGTACCTCATTCTCATTAGAGGGATTATTACGTGTGTCAGCTTATATTCAACTCCCACACCATTAGGTGTTTTGGACCATTTAGTACATACACCAGTGTGTCAGCTTATATTCAACTCCCACATCATTAGGTGTTTTGGACCATTTAGTGCATTTTACACCTCTTCCCCTTTGCTCATCCCTCCCTTCCTTCCCTTCCTTACCAGATAGGTTAGATCTGCACATTTTCCCCCGCGTGTGTGTGTCAATTCTTTTCTTCATTTCTAAACTTCGTCATTTCTACATGTTTTCAGCTGGGAACTTGGAGCTGATGAAGGGTAAATACCGATCTGAGAGACGTATTAATACTTAATTATCCATTAAAGTTCCCGAAAGGCCCATAATCCCAGTCAACATGTCTGCCACAGCTGGAAAGATGTAGAGCGGCCGTGTTCACAGCAGGTTGCCTCAATTAAACACCTTCAACTCGGCGTCAACTGATCAACACAACATTATAATGCAAATTTAGATGAAGTATTCACCAGTAAATAAAGGATTTTTCTTTCTTTGAGCTTTTTTCCGGATAGGAAAGACACATACAGTGGAACCTCGAGATACGAGCATAGTCCGTTCCAGGATCGAGCTTGTAACCAAGAAATAACAGGGAAAAAAAATCTTACTTTTTTTCTTTTTTACTTTTCTACTTTTTATTTATTTTTGCTTTTCTGGATATGTATTCTTTCTTTAGCGAGCACCAACTCATATTTATCGACAAGTTCGTGCTTTATTTCCATGGCCATCGTGCGTTTCTTCTTCTTCTCACCACCATCCTTACCACTCACTTTCTTAGGACTCATCACTGTTATGAAGAATAATGTACAAACTAGATAGAAAGTCGCGTCGATAATGCTACGTACGGAAGCGTTGCATACGGAACTCGTGGCCTGCTCCGAGTGCTCGTGTCTCTAGTCTTTACTCGTATCTCGAAACACTCGTATGTCGAGGTTCCACTGTGCCAGTAATGTATATGAGTATGACTTGGATTACATTTTGTTCAACCATTGAATACAAAGGTTGATCAGTTTTATTGACTTTTTAGTCAACAGGGAGGGCAGGAAGGTCAGTTCAGTCACTGGGTCCCGCCCTTCTACAAAAATCCCAGCTACAAATCCTCCTAGAATTGGATGTTTGAACATTCCGGTCAAAAGAGCTTTCCCTTCCATCATGCTGTTGACCATAGAAAACCTGTCATTTTCGGGCCAAAAGTGTTGATGAGAGCGTGTAGTATCTGCTCTCCAGCAGACATCCCATCTTCTCCCGAGCTGCTTCAGTCGTGCTGCCGTTCTTCCACCTTCGCCCGTCTGCTCAGCTTTTCTCATTAGATTTCCTCCGCTCTTATGAATCCCAAGTATTTTGAAGTGCATAGTGTGCGGAGTGATGCAACGTATTCAAGTGTCAAGACTGCACAAATCACATCTCATCCACGCTGATTCACATATGGAAAGTTAGGTCTCCTAGCAACAGCCAGTGAAAAGTCCTCTTTGATCGGCTTTTTCCGCGTGGCCTTCAGGGCACTAAGAGTCAACATGACCGCAGTTTGAGAACTTTTTTTAAAAACAGCAATCAGGGGCTGTTTTAATCATTTACACCCAGTGCTGGTAAAGCAGAGGAATAATGGCTTCTCTACTTTGGAACGAGCACCAAAGTGAGTGTAATCCTCCCAAGAAAGAACTGAATTTTACATGAGGGCAGAGAAAATGGACCAAATCAGGTTCCTGAGCATTGTGGTGATTAAAGCAGCGAATGCTCCTTTATGCTGAAGGGTCACATTAATGGATGGGTTACACCGTGAGGCTCTGGATGTGATTGGAAGTTGATTACCTAGTGTTCAGCGTGTGGATGATTTGATTGCAAATATTATCTCTCTGTGAATTCATTACTTTTTCTGGACCTGTAGAGCAGTGATAGTTGTGTATTTTCTTTTTTTTTTTCTTCTTTTGTTTTTTTTTCCGTTTGCTAAACTTCATTTAAATGGTGGCCACGGAATAATCTGTCAGTCAGAGGGGAATGGTGCAGAAACTGAAGGCTGGGTTCATGGGTAGGAGGACACATTATAGTAATTATATTGAGATAGTGATGTTGATACTGTAGGCATTAAGTCTAGGACTATGTGAAAAGTCTACGTTGAAGGGAGCTACATAAATACGCGGGTCAATGTGCAGGTACGTCATCTGTTCTGTGTCAAAAGAGAAGTATTGATCAAAATAACTCCCACATTTCCCTTCGATTTTTGTCTCTTATTCACTCCATGTACAGTAATGTATAAAATTGTGCTTTATAATAAACCGGACCATGCGACGTATAGATTTACTAGATTTAATTTGCATTCAAAAAATATATTGTTGATATTATTGTTTTTATTTTAAACATGTTCTTGATCACATGATCTTTATCTTAATGTAGATGGATGGATGGATGGATGATGGATAATGGATGATGGATGATGGATGATGGATGATGGATGATGGATGATGGTCCATAATATGTATTTATTATTTGCTAAACGAACAGAAACATAAACCAAAACAAAAACACATAATTAGCTAAAAGACAGCGGCTTCGTACTAACTTGTGGCTACAAAACCATTGATTTTTATTGAACTCATCCCAAGTGTTATTGCAAGAATAAAACTGATTAACTCAAATTGTGCTTCGATCGTTCGTCACATTTAAAACATTGGTTCCTGCAACAAAGGAACAGAGTGCAAAAAAAAAAAAAAAAAAAAAAAAAAACTCCCCTTTGGATTTGCTGAACTAAGACAGAAATCCCAGCAAACCCCTTCAGTCTGTGATGCTGAGCCTGCTTTTTCCACATGTTACCACTTTGGCTGCCATCTGTATCTTGTTTATACTCATGACACTTCATTTATGATGAAACAATTTTTTTTTTTTTTACAGTGAAAGCCATAAAGAAGCCTGTGCAGGTAAGACTGCTCCTAATGGCATGTCACCGAGGAAGAACGCCAGCAGGCATTTTATTGAAAACAGCTCCGGATTGTCTAGGAGCTGCAGCAAATGAGGATTTCTGTTTGAACATTCATTTTCTTTCTTTTAAAGTGTGTTTAGTCCAGAGTGATGAGAAAGATTGTCCCTTGACATCTTAATGAAGCCCCGGGGCTCCCCGTGTTTGTCCAAAGATGTGACCAAGAATTTATCACAAAATATGAAAGACTTTCACTCAAGCACTCTCCAAAAGAACCCAGAAAAAAAACAGTAATGATGAAAAGTAAACTTGGAAGAATTTAAATTATCCTCCTCCGCTGGGAAAAAGCCTTCAGAGCAGCTGGGTTTGGTACAAATTGGCCGTCTGAATTAGCCACAAAACTCATTTTTAATTCACTCTAAAGTTGCCTTTTTATCAGGCGCGGTGTATTTCCATAAAAACGAGCTGATTAATGATATTTGTCATTTTAAGACAGTATAATATGGTTCATCACAAGCCCATTATTTCCCAATAACAAGCTAACAAGTTTGTTTTTGTTTGTTTTTTTTTTCATTTTGATTTAAAAACGCACCAGGTGTAGTGTCATTCCAAGTCTTGTCCGTTCCATATTTTGATTTTTTTTTAAAATCAAAATACCAACTGTGTTGGTAATGAATGGGTAAAGTTGAATCTGAAAGATTCCCAATTGGGCTGAGATCTTCTGACTCATGCTTTTATTTTGAAACATTTCGTCGTATTGTATCGCCCTTAGCCGGTGAATCATGGAGCTGCAGTAGGAGTTCTCATTTTTGTTTTTCACGTACAAATACAAGAATTTGAATGAAGTATTTGTTCGGATACAAACATAGGAATGCACCGGAAACTGAATCGTTATTGGAGCATCCTTTAATGTCCATCGACTCATCGTTGCTAATACACAGTCGATACTCACGTTAATATTCGCACACACCGCAGGAGCTTAAAATCCCCTCTCATCCAGTGTTGTCAGCTCGATCTATCAGACAGGCCTCGCCTGTCAGTGAGACAAGACAGTGAGAAATTCCACCGCTGACAAGCTGACTGACATGATTATCAA